ACTATATTAAATTATACTATGTTATATGTTGAATATTTTTTGGCGCAAAATGACCAGAAAAATGGTACGAAACTGCTCGAAAGCATAGAAAAACAGTAGCAACTTGATGTTTCACTGACGTTTCAGTGAAATAGGTCAAGTAGAAGATCAACACGTATCTCATGAAACGAATTCACTGATGGATAAAAATGTTCTTGAAAAATTTTCTTACCGATTTTAAATCTTCGCTATTGTATCGAAAATGTTAAAGTTTCTCATCGCAAGGGAAAACTTTAAATCCATTTTCTCCAAAAGAAATGAATTCTTCTTTGCTCAACTACTTCTTTTTGAATTTTTCTATGCATTTTCTGGCAAGAATAAGTACCTCGAAAGAAATAAAACTTTTTATTGAAAAAAAAAAAAAAAAAGAAAAAAGATAAAAAAATAAAATTCTACTATATTAATATCAGTTTGTAGGTAGAAATTAATGTTTTATATCTCATATCTCATCTTTTTTAATGATCAAGATTAAAACTTCGAAATCAGATTTCGATCCATCTCTATGTAATTTCAAAATTAATTATTGTACCATTAATTTAAACAATTTTGTCGTATATTATTTAATTTTTAACTAATATTTCGCAATATATTTCATAATCAACTAATGTAACTATTTCTACTTTTCCGCAGGTTCTCTTTTGAAGAATTCGCGTTATCAGCCTCACCAAGAAAATTGAAAATTGCAAATATATTCTACAAAAAAACACGCAGATTTCCATTACATGATTAAACAGAGTTTCATCATTGAGCTGTGTTTAACCAGGTTGAACACAGTCGCTCTAGGTAGGGAACAAAGACGACGACAATTGATGAAATTTTCATAAAATTCAATTCCACTGAAATTGGAGTTTCGAGGCTAAATATAAATTTCAAATGATTTGCAGTTCTATAACAAAAATTCAGTATACTTTACGTGAAATTGAGAAAAGAAACATTCTTAAGAAAAATTCATGAAAAAATTCATTAATATCTACGTAATTTTATGAGAGATGAAAATAATATTCTGCTATTTTTCTTCTATAGGAAGAAAGACTTTTTTAATTTTTACAAAGATATCAAAGTAATCATATTTTTCTTCTTTTGTACTCTCTCATATATTTACACTGAATATTGAATAGGAGAATGGAAGAATAATCACTGTAAAAAATTACTCACATTTGCACAGCAAACAGATAAATCTTTCCACCCGTGTGTAATATTTCGTATAATTTCTAAATATTTTTAGTTTTTCATCTAAAATTTAAAATAAAACTATAAAATATTTTGAAAAATCTTTCCTTAATTTCATGAATGATTTTTTTAGAAAACCATCTCTTTGAATAAAATTTAATCATTTCTGATTAATAACCGAATGAAATATCCTTATGAAATATTCTTCAACATTCAAAAGAAATCTCTTTCCAAAATCCAAAAAATTTCTTTATGCATTCTGTTTTATGAACAACAAACTCTCATCATTAGAATAGTTCTTGTGAAAAAAGCAATGATAAGAGAAAGAGAAGAACTCTTCTCAATCATCAAGAAACTTTCCTCCATTTAGAACGGATAGAAACTTCTTCCCTCGGTAGAGGGGAAATTTCGATCACGACTGCTTCATTCGCAGTTTCATGTTAGAATATTCACGTTGAAATGGGACAATCGATTGCGAGAGGCTGCTAGCAAGGACAACCCAACCGGTTTTTGTAGGTCAGAAATCCCACTATATGTCGACCTGCATCAACCAGCTGGAAAAGTGAAAAAGCACTTATTTTTGGATGGAGAAGAAAATTCCATGGAAATAGAAACATAGATCTTTAAAGCTTATATTTATATTGTCCACTTCGCGCTTCCATTATTTCTCGAAGATTCTGAAACAATTGTTGGAATCAGAATAGAGAATCTCTTCGGAAAAAAGGCTTTTATAACGAGGATAATGAACTATAGTGCAAAGAACTTCTCAAATTTTTTTCTTTCTTTCTTTTTTTTTTTTTCTTAATGAAATGCATCGAGGTATTCAATATCAAAATCACTATCATGACATTCTATTCATTCATTGAATTGTATTATTTTAGCATTAGAATAATTTGTTAGATAAAATGAAGAATTACCGTATGGATAATCTATTATGTCAACTGCAGATTTAATTACATCTCACGTTTTATATATGAAATAATGAACAACGAAGAACAATCATTTTACATCCTGTATTCACTTTCCATTTTTCAAAATGATACATTATATTATTTTTCTCAATTGGAAATTACATATCACTTTTGTTTCCGGATAAATAAACACGATTTTTAAGTTTTGTAAAGTATATTACAATATATTACAATATTATTTATATCATATAAAAATTTATATGATATAAATAATATTTTCTTCATTTTAGAAGATAGTAGATTTTAGAAGATTGTATATAAATAAATAATTGTATTAATTTAGGTTAGATTTTCAAAGTAAAAATTAAATGAAATCATTTAATTGAAAAGTAAGTACTGTATCAATAACTATTAAGAATTATCTCAAAAGAAAGAAACAAAATCAGATTGAACAATAATCTAAAACAATTTAGATTTGTTATTTCTGAATACAGAGTACAAAATCACTTCAACAATCTAGAATTTGATCTAATAAAGTGGATCTAATAATCAAAACTAGATGTTTTTACAAGCGTATAGAATTAAGAACAAAGATTAAATTTTATGAAGAAATAGGATTATTTTACAATAACTTTGTCATAAACAGAATTACTCTAACGATAAAAATCGAATTGTATTAGAAAAGTGAGAAACTTTAGGAAATCAAAATTCGATCTTTAATAGAAAATAAAATCTTAAATTAATAAACAAAAGATTCTTACTTAGCTTAAAAACAGTTAAAAAAAAAAGATAGATATAACCTATATTATATAAGTGTATCTATAATAGTCTTAAAGTATAAATATGAATCTTTTATTTCAAATGTAGTTTTTTCCATAAACAATAATTTTAGTTTTTAAAGAAAATTTGAAATAATTCATATATTTTCAAATATTTTAAATAAGATTTCTCTGTTCAATAAATTTTTTTAAATAAACAAAGATTCATTCTTCGGAAATTTACGAAAAACTCATGCGAATCATGCAAATTAAACTAGATTATCTAACCTAATTTCTACACTAATCTAATTTTTTCGAGAATAATAATATCAAAATAACTTCGTAAGTTTGCACATAATCTATAATATCAATTTTTCTAATATTATTTACAAATGAAATATAGAATTCCATTAAAAATTATATATTCATTTAAAAAATTGAGTTTATAATTTGTTATATTTCTATTGTTATATTCCTGTTATAATCCTATATCATCATAATAATGCATTTATTAATAAAAGAAAATTTGTTTCAAAAAAAGAACAAATACTATGGAATTATGAGAATGAATATTAAATATAACTCACCTGAGCTAATCAAAGTCCTAGATTCCATGATAATTAGCCAACTATATCCAAGCTATTCTCTGTCCGTAATATAACGTTGTCTTTGTTAACACCATCTGCACAATCTTGTCCAATTATAGCATTACATATTAGTTTGCATAGTAGCACGATTATATCCTTTGTGAACAGTAACCTGAATTTCAATGGTGAAAATTCCACTCAGGAGATTCGAATTTCGATGTAACGTTCCAAATTTTGATCCGATTTCATCCATTCAATATGAAATGTAACTTGAATCTGTAATAAAAGAAATGAAACTTGTTAGAAAATTTTCTTTTGGCTTTGGTGTTGCTTAATTAGTTAGATGTTTAGAATTTTTAAAAATTTTAGAATTCTTCTATGTTGAAAAACAACTTAAAATTTTTACGATTTTTAAAATTCTTAAAATCTTTGAAATTTTTAATTTAATAGATTATATAATCTATGGTGATTGGAAAAATATGAAAAATATTGGAAAATAATGAATGAAATAATAATTTAAATTGATATATATCAACTATAATTAGAAATTAATTACAATACATAATTAAATAAATATTAATATCTGTCGAATTAATGATGTTGACAAATGACTTCGTAGATTTTTTATTTGAAAAAATGTGATTATTAAAAAAAATCAATTTTCATAATTATAAAAAAAATTCATAAATATAATATTTAATATAGGAATTTAAAAATTTTAATGGAATTTAACAGAAATTTTATTCAAATACATAAAAAATAATGTATTTAATTCCAATTAATTAAGTACATTTAAACAAATTGGACATTTAAAAAATTAATCATGCATTAAAGTTGTTTCTTATTACAAATTTGAAAGTCTCTAACAGCTAGGAGAAAATGATTTTTAATTTATGGAGATTAGAAGCGTAGATTAGTATCTGACGTCCTGTTACACGATTTGTGTGCCTGTCAACAGCACATAGTGATTAATCAACATGTGGCAAAACAATATTCGATTAAAATATCATCCAAGAATTAAAGAGGAATTCTATTAGAGTACACAGTTAAACAGATTATATGATTTAATATGATTCAATTTATATAAGAATTTAAATATCTATTTATACTTAAAAATATTATATTTAATATAGAAAGAAAATAATGTAATTTTAGATGGTTAATTTCATCACATAGAGAAAAAAATATTCTTTAATGAAATTTTTTACATACCTCAACTTCATTAAAAGAGAATTAATTAATATATTATTAGCTCAAAAAATATTAGATTGAAAAAAATCTATGACTAAAGAAATTTTATTATGATTTTTTTTAAATTATACAAGTAGTATAAGTATTATCTATTAAAAATTTAAAATTTTAAATTATAATTTATTTTTATAAATATTGTTTTATTTGAAAAATAAATAAAAACTTTCTTTTTTTACAAATTTTATTGTTATCAATAAAATCACTATGAATACTACATTCGCATATTTTTAATTTCTAATAACTCTATAATTTTTTATCAATCTGACGCAAATTAAATATGTATCTTAAACAAATAACTCTTTTAAAAAAATTTACTTTTATCAAAATTTCTTGTCACTTATAAACACTTAAATTGATGACTAAATCATAAAGTAAAGAACCAATAAAAAAGCTCGGCGACATGACACTTTGATTATCATTTTGATTGGTTTATATTCCGAGTCAAGAGAACGGAGAGTTTGAATTCGTAGTTCTACAAATTCTACGGTTGATCAACTTGTTTTTTAATCTCGAGAGGCGTTATAAGGATCATGTGATATTTCTTTATGGAATATCTATGTAGGTAGAAACTTTAATGACCAATCAACATAGCAAAATAGCTACACAGAACTGTACATATCCAACAAAGATTGGCTATCAATCAGGAGATTACATCTTGAAGTGATAATTTTAATAGGTCTTATAAATTCTTTTAAGAAATTGATTAGATTAGATTGTAATTAAATAAATTATATAAAAAAATATGTAAAATACGTAAAAAAATTTCTAATGTTCAATAATATCAACATAAATTCAAATTCAAGAAATTTTTAACAATTATAAATAATTATCAATTTTATATTTTATATTTATTTTTTATTTTGTAATCACATATTTTATTTTATACATTTTATCTTATATTACTTATTAACAATAGTGTTAAATTATTAATTAAATAATAAACGAATTTATCCTAAGTTTAGCTAAAATTAATAAATCAATCTATTAAAGTGATAAGAAGATAGAAAAGTTTAAGAAGATATTTTGAAGACAAATCAGTAAATTTAAATTAAAATAGTGATATTAAATGCGATCCTTATCCATGATATTTGAGGTTAAACTACCGCTTAAGCTTAAACTTTTGAAAAGTCTCGTTAAAACTTCTCATGAGTGCATAACTGCATGACAATTTAAAGTTATTTTGAAAATCGATTCTCAATTCTATGAAAAGGCTGTCCTGTTTTTCCCATTCAAATCATAAATTGAATTGAACCTTCCTGAACATCAAGTTATTCATTTTTGTGATTATTTTAGTGATGAAATCGTTAAAGAAATCGAAATAAATCAAGTTTCCTCGCAAGATATTTCAGCTAGATTTTCTTGCTTTTCAGAAACAAGGGGATAAGTTTTAAATGAATAGATTCAAATGAAAAATAGCGAATGTGTACACAGAAAAATCGTAGTTAAGAAAAATTATCTTATTAAGGTAAGGAAAAAAGATGAAACTTATTTTTTTTGAGATATTGTTTATCTTAATAATTTTTCAATTTTGATATCGTGAAATCTTTATTTCAACATTCGATATGAATAATGATATTAATTGGAAAGTACATTATTAATATCAAAAATATTTATTGAGGTTAGGATAAGTATTAAATCAGGTTAAATATTTATGAATAATTCAATTAAATAAAACTTTTGTAATTAAAATTTTGTAGATATAAATATATTTGAATAAATAAAAAAAAATGAATATTAATTTTCTAATATAAATCTAATATAAATTCAAAATAAAAACTTTTATAGTTCGCTTTTCTTCTTTACGTCAAGATTTGTTTTCTTTTGTTAAATTAATTTTACTATTTCAATATTATTCAATTTTACTTTATATTTCAATATTATTAATCTTTAAAAACGAAAAAAAAAGAAATAAAATATAATAATAATTTTTTTTTATATATAACATTCAATTTTTTTTATTCTAAGATTTTTTATAAAAAAAAAAAAAAAAAAAGAAAGAAAGAAGAAAAGAAAAAATAGATATTTTTAAAAAAAATCCATTTATTACATTAATTACATTAATTTCTCAAAGAAATAACTCAAATTGGTTGAAAACTAACAATTCTACTAACAAGTAGAAAAATCTGGTTTATTCGTGGAATAAAACATATAAATCAAATAGAAATGCAAATGATAATTAGGATTCGAAAAATAGATAGAAATAAATATTCGCAAATAAATATCATCAAAAATTGTAAATTTGTGATAATCTAGATTTCTATAGTTTTTTAAAAAGGATTATAAAAAAGAAAAATTAAAAAAAATAATAAGTTAATGATTTGGAGAAGAAAAAAAAATTAATTGATAAAACAAATATATTAATTCGAATGTAAAATGATTTGCAGATACTAATGGACTAAGATAATTATCTTCCACGCGTATTTCATTAAATTCTCTCAACAGAAAAAATCGATCCATCAAATTATTATTTTCCAAATGAATCATTCGGATAAAATCTGACAATTTTGGCAAAAAATACTTTTCACATTACAAAAATGATACGATTTCTCAAGAATATTCTAAAAAAATATACATATGTTTTTATTGAAATAAAAATAAAAAAAAATTCTGTACTTTAAAAAAGAACACATACAAAATTTAAGATATTTTTTGAAAAAAAAATTTCTGTTTCTAATTTTAATGTATGTATCCCATAAATCTTATTCTTCAAAGAGAACTTAATCTAATTAATGATAGAAATAGTCCATTGTACCATATTATATTAGCTTGTATTATGTAAATTGATAATATTCAAAAGCTTGGAAAATTGATTTGTAAAATTTAGAAATTTAAATAAGTAAATACTTAATTATTGGAAGTTAAAGATGCACAAATTAACGAGATGTCTGAAGGCAAGCAACCAACCATGAATTATGGCTATGACTGATTATCGACAGGTATCGAAAATAATAAATATATGAATGAACATTGATTATATGCTTGTACGTTTAATTTCCATCCTGGAATATCGAGAATATTATTTATATATATATTATTTATAAAGCCATTATTTAAAAGTGGTGAGCATATAATTACATATGAGATAATTCAGTAATAAGTTATGATAATAAAATTATTATATTATAATATTTTAAACTATTATATTATATTATCGAATATCATGTAGTCATCGTGAAAATATCTCTTTGAAAATGATTCAAAGGCGAATATTCAAATCTTTACTTTTTTTTTTTATCAAAGTTCAAAAGAAATTTTAAGATATTAAAATATCGATAATAAACGGTAGTCATGAAAACATTCCACAAAAATATTTCAATTTCGAAGATTGATTTCGAAGATTTTAAGGAGAATATTTTAAAAATGACTATAATGATGTTCAACTGTAAAGTAAACACAACGAATTCGCTATCTTCTTTACTCGTGGAAATATAAAATTCTATTCTATCATTATTTCATTTTTATTTAATATATATGAATATAAACAACAATGAGTTAGCGAAAAACGTTTTCGTTCTTTCAAAAGATCAAAATTATAAGAATTCAAAAAAATTTCAATACGAATTTTTAATGTACTATTTCTTCCAGAATGATACCTGAACAGGTATTCGCGACAGGCGCACAGCGAATAAATATATCACTCAACGATCAATTCTTCGTAATGAATGTAACAATTTAGAATGAAACACCGGGCCAAGCGTGTGTTTCCTCGCCTTTCCTAATATTCGCTCGCTAATTAGCGCAATATCACGCGCTCATTGTTCACAAGAGAGGCTCTGTTGCGAATCCATCACGACTATTGGGCCTTGACCTGGATAAATGCTTAACGATCGTTGCCAGAATTCAAGATCCCTTTGCGATTTTGTGTATACGCGATCTTAATGGACGATATGGTGAAAATTTGATAAGGAAAATCGAATGGAAAAAGAAAGTTTCGGATCCTCAGATAAATAAATTAAACACGTTTCAGTACGGATGTGCAAACTGTGGTTTCTAATTATGGCTTGTTAAAAAATTTTCTCTTTCTTGTAATTTGGCAACTGAATGGAGCAACATATCAAATAACTGATGACGAGTATTAACTATTTTATATTATATCGTAAATCGTATATCTATATTAATTCTATAATTATATCATACATTTTAATATTAATTATAATTATAACGTTAATTTTTGTATCTAATAATTTCCAAATTTATAGATATATATATATAAAATATTGATATATTCATGGATATCTTTGGAGAGTGGAGTTTTTTCTTTTTAGAATAGAATAGAATAAAAAGATTAATTAAAAAAAACACAAAAAATTGGTACATAAAAATATTAGTTAAGATTTATTTGTTAAATTATAAATAATGTAAGTTTGCATTAAAATAAGACATTAAAGTAAAATTTATCTTTACTTTACTTCATTCAATATAAACTTTATTTATTGTTTATATATTTATATATTGTTTAACTTAATAAGCATCAATCAAAATTTTTGCATAATAACTTTTTATCCCTAAAATTGATTTTACAAAGATATATCTTATAAAGATTCTATAAATACTAATATTAGTTTATATACTAATATTATTTTGAAATTATATTAATATTATTTTAAAATTAACGTTGTAGATTGTAATAAAACAAGAATTTTACAAAAGTAAGGATCTTCATTAAGAATGTGCTTATTCGAATACATATCTATAGAGAATATTAAATATGGTTCAATGACTACTATGATTTCAGAATTTCCAGAATCAAGTTAAAGTGAAATTTATGCAACACTGGTTGCATAGTATTAGAAGGATGGAACTGAATATATCGATCTAATAATTTCTGCGTGGGCAGGTTGTACGTGTTGAATATCAAACGAGAAATTATAATTTTGCTAAATGCCCTATAATTTCGATTCTGTTCATTTTGAGTTCTTCGACCTTGAAAATGAATGCATTATTATTAATTGCAACTATTTCGAATTATTTTAACAATTTCTCATTTGAAAATTATATTACAAATTATAATCTTATATGAAATTAGAATTTTATTAATTTTTCACGAAATTAATAACATTTTATCAAATTAGTATAGTTAATTAAATATTTTATGTTTTTATGAATTGATAAAAATATTGTGATTTTATGTTATACAAATTTTTCTCTTTCTATTTTTTAATATTCAAAAAATCTTAATATTGAAAAAATCTTGATTTCACTGTTTAATAAAGAAATAGATATAATTTTTTTTTTGTAAAACTCTCTAAACTCGTTAACGTACTATATAATTAAATATCTAATTAAAACTTCTTCTCGTTCTTTCCTTCTTTAAAATCCAATAATAGGAAGAGAAGAATCGAATTCAATAGAAATCGAAGAAGTGAATTATCTTTATCGTTAGAGAGAATTACTTTAACAGGACACTATTATTTCATTTATAACACTTTAGATATGTCACATGCCTATAATTTTGCCTATAATTTAAGACTTTATCAACTGACTTTAGATTTAATCCATATTATGAAGAGATTAATAAACTGCTCTAATTAAAGAAAAATAACAAGATTAATTAGTTTAGTATATTGATAATTCATGTGAATAAAAGTAGAATCAAGTAAAACAAATCCAAAATGATCAGATCTAATAATGAATATAAAATTAGTGAAGATTCAATTAAATTTTTTAATTAAGCATCTTTTTCTATTTGAAATATATTGAATATACTTTTTTTATTCTATTTTATTATATTATATTTTTTGTTATATTATATTTCTTGGTAATATTGTAGTGAATTTTTATTTATAAAAAAATATAATAAATATTAATGATAATATTTAATAGTAAAGTTAATTAAAAATTAAAATAATAAATATATAAAAATAAAAATAATAAATTAGTAAAATAGATAGAAAATAAAAGAAATAAGTTAAGATTTTTTAATTGTATTTCTTTTTTAAGAAGCTATAATTATCTGGAAAAAATTAAAGAAGAAATTTGTAAGAAATATTTTATTTTTTGTAATTATTCAATCTTTAAATTTAAAAAATGGGAATTTCGCAAAAAGAGAAAGATTTATTTCTTTGTGAACTAATATAATAAAATTAATA